CACAAAAAAAAACCCGGGAGTTACATCTTAGACTTAGACTGTAAGACTTTAAATGTTAAAGCTCATGACAGTCCATTTAGAAAGACTAAACAAGTATGGTTTGTTTGGAAGGATTACCAGGGGAAGGCTCTTCTCGCTAAAAAGAACATGGCAGCATGGCTTTAGGTTTGCAAAGTTGCATCCAAGCAAACCACAAGACTTCTCAAACAATGTCCTTTGGATAGACCGGACCTAAATGGAGATGTTTGACCATAAAGCACAGTGCCACATTGTGCTGATGTGCTGTGCTCTGTTTTCATCCAAACACCTCATACCAACTGTCAAGTACTTTGTTGGAAGGGTAATGATTTGGGCTTGTTTTGCAGCCACGGGACCTGGGCACCTTGCAATCATTGAGCCAACCGTGGATTCCTCTTTATACTAAAGTATTCTAGAGTCAAATGTGGCCATCTGTTTGACAGCTGAAGCTTGGCTGAAACCGGATCATGAAAACAGTAGAATGAACCCAAGCATACCAGCAACTCTACAACATAATGACTTAAAAGAAAAGAATTAAGGTGTTGCAATGGCCCAGTCAAAGTTCAGACCTCAACCCGATTAAAATGCTGTGGCGGGACATTAGGAGATATGTGCATAAACAAATACCTGCAAACCTCAATGAACTGAAAAAACTTTGTAAAGAAGAGGGGGCAAAAATCCCTCCAGAACGATGTTAGAGACTGATAAAGTAATACAGAAAATAATTACTTTATTGCTGCCTGAGGTGGTTCTACAAGCTATTGCATCATAAGGTGTACTTAGTTTTTCCCCACACACAACTACACTATTTTGGCTATATGTTTGTAAAATAAATAATGACATGGTGTAACATGTCATGTATTGTTGTTCATTTAAGGCAATATTTACCTAATTCTAAGGACCATATCATTTTTATTAAGTCCTGACATGTAAAACCTTAGAAGAGGGTGTACTTCTTCACACAACTGTATGTTTTAATAGAAAGCAGAGTCTCTCTGTAAAAAATTTGGTTCTTAGGTTTAGTTTTTCTTCAAACAGCAGCTTTATCAAATGGGGTGGCTGCATTTGTTTTTATAATTTTTTAAGCTGAGAATATTTTCAGCAAATACAGAAAATATCCATTGATCTTATGTCTTATGATCAGTGTCTGCCACTTCTTGTGAACTGAACCGAAAGTAGAAACAATCTTAGCTTCCTTCTATAAACTATTAAGCTCTCCACCCCCCATGTAAAGGTGCCCATACACTGCGCGATTATCGTGGGAAATCCAGCGATCGTAAGCTAATCGCAAAGTGTATGGAAGACGTGTGACCGGTTTTACTGTACGGTCGCACGTCTTTTGTCTAGGGAGCACGCTAGAAAACCAGCCGAAAATCGTACGATTTTCGGCTGGTTTGAACGGTGCCCGGGAGACAAATGCCGAACAGGCCGGTGTGCGCACGCGCACACTGCCCGTTCAGCATTGCGGTCATCGGAAGCTTGCGATGATCGAGAGTGCGATCTGCCTGTCCAAGTTGGGCAGATCGTGCGTTTTTTAAATTACTTTACAACCATCGCAAGACTAAGGTCTTGCGATGGTTGTAAAGTGTATGGCCACCTTAATAGGGATGAACAAAAGCAGACAGATATATGGTCCAGCCTGAATGGTAACCATGGCTGGTAGATAGTGGAGTAAGTGAGCGTAATCCACACAAGAATATTAGGTGTTATTCGCAAACCTACCAGGTGAAAAGTAAAAGTAAAAAGACAACAAATGCATTAATTACATTCAAGGATTGATAAGCTGCAATATATTGCATTTTTGTTTTTGGGTTTAGATATGCTTTAAAAGATTCAAAAGTAGAAAGCTGTACTGCTAATAGGCACTATGACTGTATATTGACCATGATACAAATACACAGTGACTTGACAACACAAATTCTTTTAGAAGTAAACATATACGACCTTAATGTAAGAATAGTGATGGAAATATACTGTATATGTTTTGGTAACTAATAGACACCATATTTTAGGATGAAATGGTTTATTTTGGGATTTAATTGCCTTGGTTAATTTCAAACATGAAGCAACATTTTGTCTGCAACAGTTTAAAGCTTTAGCCCTCGTTCACACCTAGGCGTATTGCATAAGCGCGTCTGTCACGCGATTTTTTTACCGCGATTCGCGATAAAAAAGTCGCGCGACCGTCGCGTGATTCCGAAGGCTACTTGGCTGTATCCCAATGGAAAACGCCCTACAAAACGGCCCAAAGTAGTACCTGGACCTTTCCAGGCGTGGGCCGTTTTGTAGGGCGTTAGGGACGGGCGGAAATACGGCAAGGTGGGAACGAGACTATTGACTACAATGCAATTTATTTTTTTTACCGTTTTGTAGAGCGTTTGTCGAGCGTAGAACGCGCTACAAAACGGTCAGGTGTGAACGAGGGCTTAGGATGTGCTCATCAGGGAGATATATAAACAAACACTTGTGATAACGTGTCCATAGTTAGATGACTGATGTTGCCATACAGTCAAGAAACAATTGAATGTTGAGGGCAGTATTTTACCCGTCCTGAAAGCTATTGCTCTCCCGAGAAAAACTGGCATTGGTGGCCGAAGCAAAATGTGGAAAAAAAATTTCACTACAGCTCAATCCTACCACTCTGAGGTATCTATGTTGGTCATCACCTTGCATGACTTATAAACATGAGGAGTCTCTCAACAAGTCCAAAATAGCTAGATCAAGACACCTCAAAACTGCATGATTTTGGCAATCTGACCCTTCTGACCACCATTTCATATATATAAAGACTACACATTAATCATTTCCCATTTAGTGTCCTTTACTGATTCATTCAATTCATTGTATTAAATCACAAGCTACGTCAAGTACTGTAGTTGTGTTTTGCCTGCCAACCAATATATTTGCTATTAATACACTGTCCAAGTAGACTATGTAAAATTTTGAAAATCCTCATGTCACATTTCCAAATGTTCCCACTTGCAATTTTCCCACTCTTCCGATTTCAGACATTTGCCAAAAACATCGTCAAGTTCAATTACAAGCCTAACTAGCAAGTCTGTGTCAATTGTACTTCTTTGTTGATCATGGTATAGAGCAATCAGGTCTGAGGAAGTTGTGCAACACTGACAATTTCATCAGCGTCAAATACATATATGTTTAAATCTGAACTCTACATGTCACACAGCTAACTACATAGTTAAAATGCATACTAAAGATTTGTTTTTCCAGTCTTAAGAATTGCAATTCCTTTCAGACAGCTTTCATTCAGTGATTTACGCCCTCCTTCCACACTGCATAACCAGGATACTTTTCCTATTGAAGTAAAAGGACAACTGTACTTTCATAACACTAATGTACGCTCCCTGTAAACATAGCTGCTCCTTAGGGTAGACTGTGGGGGGGTCTTTTTTTAGGCAAGTCTAAGCCTATGGTGATAGGTTTCAAATAATTTAGAAGGTTTCAAATAATTTAGAAGGGTTAAGAAGGGTGGGTCAGTGTACAGTGGTACCTCAGTTCACCAACTTAATTGGTTCCACGATTCTGGTCGCGAACTGAATCCAATTTTCCCATAGGGTTCAATGTAAATGAGGTTAATCCATTCTGAACCATATGTAAAAACAATTTTAATCACAAGTACAGTACAGTACAAAGAGAGTGAACACTAACGTTCTCATCACCTTCATTAACGCTCTGCACATTCTTGTCACCTTCATTACCGCTCTGCACTTTCTTTTTACCACCATGCTTGCTCTGCACTTTCTTTGAAGCCATGCTGGATTGCCGCAAATGAGCAAACGGTCTATTAAAAATTGTGCATTTTTGTGCGAGTCGGGAGTATTTCAAAAAGTGGATGTGTAAAGGGAGGCTTAACAAATAAATTAATCACATCCACCCTATGTTTTCCTAAGTTCACAATGGAGTAGGTTCACAGTGATGAGGTCCTCTGAGTTCTCTCTTCCTGTAAACATGGTCTAAGTACTAGATTTACAGCATTGTGTAACCCAATCATGTCTGATTGGATGCTTTTGCTGGTTAAGCTGTCAGTGTCAAATTAGTTGTCTACAGACAATAACTAAAGATGGAGAGAAAATTTTAAATGTTTGACTAGTGTATTTAAGGAGTATACTATTAAAAAAAAAAAATAGGTGTTATTTGTCGTACTGGCCATTTGATTTGTACATCTTTAGATTTACTTTGACAATTACAGGGCGATGTATGAGAAAAAAGGGTCTTCAACATCCAACTAAACAGGGATAACGGCCAGAGATTTGACCAAGACGTGTCTGAATCCTTATACAATTACTGCACAACTGCATATACAGTCACCTGTAAACCTGGAAGCTTGGCTCAGGTGCACAATGGGGTCGATTTACTGAAAGCAAATAGGCTGTTCACTTTGCAAGCGAGTTTTCCCTTAGCTTAGGGAGTGTGGTGAAAATTCCCTTTGAAAAGAATACCCAGTCAACAAAGAAAATAATTAAAACAAGAAAAGTATTTTTGCTTGCACTTGATTGGATGGTGGAAGTCAGCAGAGCTTCACCTCATTCACTAAGCTAAGGGAAAACGCTCTTGCAAACTGACTAGCCTGTTTGCCTTTAATAAGTCAAGACACCTTTAAAAAAGGTATCTTTTTTGACTGGGGTGAAAGAGAAAACACAGTTGGTTAAATCCGCTGCCTCCTACCCACTCTAACAATAGGGAAAATGCATAGCTGTCAGTCTATCACATTTTTAAAATAATATATACTGTTTGAACAGATGTCTTTGATCACATAAGTATGTCTCCAGCAACAGGTAAACTGACCTTATTATGAATGACCTAACAGCAGTAAAAAAAAATAAAAAAAATAGTCATTAGAGCATTTGAAATCACTCTGTAAATAAAAATAAAATGGTAGACAGTTCCAGTAATTCAAGTCTGCTTAAAATGAAAAACACGTCTCATGCACAAAATGACAAAAGCATGCCATATTTACCTACCCATTTTGTGGTTCATCACCCAGGTTTTCCTTTTGTCCTCTTCTCTGCACATCAGCCCCATCTTGTGCAGTCTCATTAGCATACAGGTTGACAGCCGAATTGTAGCTGGCAGGCTGCCGTGGGACATTAACTGCAGTTTTAGTTGCACTTAAAGCAGGTGACTGGCCATCTGTGGCAGATTTATAATTGGCATGCACTCCGGATGTGATGGGAGGAGGTGGGTTGACTGCAGACAGCAGGGATAAAGCAGAGAGCTGTGAGGAGGTTTGGCTTGCAGAGGCTGGGGAAAAGGCTGAGGATGGTGATGGGATTGAAGCAGGCTTGGAAGGGGATGGGGCCCCAAATGGTCTAGGAGCTTTGTTGTAGGTCATATTGGCTGAAGTGTTGATCTTAGGTGCAGCAGGTGTAGCGGGAGTTGCAATAGGCACAGGCTTTATTATTTCTTTGAGAGTTTCCTATATGTAAAAACAAAAAACAAAAACCACACACCAACCACATGCAAGAAACTCAGCACAACATCTCCTTAAATGCACAGATGTCTACAATCTTAATGCACTAATGGCAAATAATTCAACAGTCCCACTGTAACCTTTCACAGTCTCAGTTGCTCAAATGAATGTGAAGAATGTTGTGATAAGAATATTGTTATATTACGATTGCACTGTAATAAAGCAGATGGGGCACTAAGGTCCATTACATCTATGCAATCAATCATGTATATTGTAACGTCTGAGAGCCTGGAATTTGAACATCAACTGCCTTTTATTGGCAATGTTAAAAGGATTCCTAGCTTTGCATAGACTTGCTGAGCAGTACTAGCTCTTATGGTGTTTTAATTATTATAATTATTGACATTACTAAACCAAGCTAAGTGTGAGGCCTGAAAAGCAAACTTGATTTCTTGTGCATTATGGAAGCCTTAACTACATATTTAATTACAATTATAACAATATTAACAGTAATAATAATCACCCTTTCACTGCACAAAGTTGCACAGGGAACGAGGGAGATAATGTTCAGGACATTTCAGTCACCTGGAAACTTTTGCAGTCACCAGGGCAACCTGAAGATAATTATCTGTCCAGTCCTGTCTTTGGATAGCAGTTTCTAAACACTCCGTGATACTGCTGAAAGCCAATCATCCCCCAGCCCATTCATGGTTTTTTACTGGTCAGCGTGGAGGCCATCACAGTGATAATGCAATAGGAACAGGCAGGAGGAGAATGGTTTGGCTTTCAGTAGTATCCCGAACTGTTCATATTAGTTACTTAGAGTGCTCTTGATTTTTGGGCCATGGCCATTTCATTAGCTTTATTGTGCTCATGGATTTACTTTAAGCCCTCAGATACACCTTCTACCTCTAACAGAATGGTGAACAGAAGTGCAATGGAAGGGAAATGCTGTAAATTAGCAAAGAGTATACATCCCAACTGAGCACAGGCAACGGTCTTTTGAAGGAGAGGCTCACGTATATTCATGGCTGTGGGGATAGAGTCAGGGTATGAGAGAATAAAGGTATACAAATTAAATACTGGGAGAAAGCTGCCATTTCTGGCCCCCTTCAGACAGTTATATATCCGGCTTTAATACCTTTTTGGCTTCAAGTGCTTCTGGGTATGGTGGAGCATGTGACCTCCAACCAAGATATAGTGCCTGAGCCTGAATGACAAATTGCCTGGCCCAAAATATTAAATGAGGGAGGAGGCGATTACAACCTTGTATTAGCTCAGACATCACCCGACAAGGAGCATAAAACAGGGTTAGGACTCTGATAGAGGAACTCTTTCACACTGCCTTAAATGCAGCAGGTGAATCAGAACCAACCAGACCCACACTAGGACTATGGGGAGTCAGATTTAAGCAGACATGTCCATTTACATCAGATTAACCCAAATCCGTCACTATCGGGGCCGGTAAAATATGCACATCTGTTTACATGTGGCTGCCCATAGAGTTAGTAGGCTTCTAATCAGATCTGCCTGAAAAACCAACAGGAGGACCTGAACAGACTGTGCATATGAAAGCGACTCAAGTGTAATGGCTAGTGTGCAGTCTGGAATCCACAGAAGCAGGAATTTTTACAGCTTACTTTACAAGCTAAAAAATTCACATATTTTTAAATAGCTTTTCTTAGTAGGCACATCAATGATTTAAGGTTTGCCTAGAAATCACTTTATTCTGTAAAGGCTTCTGCTCCACCCTTAGCAACATCTGTTGTGCAGCAAGAGAACACAAATCAGTCTTAGTCAACTGCTCAGCACGTCTATGCAAGCTATGTCATTGTGAATATTAGCTATTGAAAGTACAATCACAGAATCTGGACTTTAGCCAGAGCATAGATGGATGTAAAATGCTCCATAAGACTACTATGTTCAGCATAAAAGCAAGATTTTCTTTATCTTTTGTCAAACATTCACCCCTACAGTGAATAGATCCAATAAAAAGCAGTGATTTATAATTATTTAGACCTGGACTACAACAGGCTATTGATCAAATGAGAATCTGCTCTCAGAAAAAAAATTGCCGTAGAGCAATAAAAACATCGGGTTAGTGACTTTTTTATAGTAACCTTGCATGCCAGCGTCTGGAATGGCTGCATACAATCAAAATACATTTCACATGCATTATAAAATGTCAGCATACAAAGTACATTCCAAAATGGTTTACGAGAGAACTTACAACTTGTGCAGGGTTTGGATTGGTCTTTGGAGCAGCTGCAGCCCTACAAAAGAAAAAGCAAAGCAAATGTTATACCCGTCTAAACCAAGCCCTTTCTTTAATACATGAACCCTATTTTCCCTTTAAGTGTCAAGCCAAAACAATTTTTCGGGTTTTGCATAGGGTGGGGAAGGATGAGAAGGCCTGTTGGGTGCTTACTACTATCCAGAGAGAATTACACTCACTTCCTGTCCTGCTGACAAGCTTTTCACTAGACAGGAAGGGAGAGAAAATATGCAACAGGTACATAGACAGAAATAAACATCTTACAGGAGTTCTAGCATTCCTCTACTCTACTTAAAGCCACACTCCTGCCAAAACGATAATATACACACAGCACTGGATGCGTACATTACCATTAAAAAGCTGTGTGTTATGTGCAGAGGGCACCTCCAAAGTATAACACCTTACCTTGCCTGTCCCTCGCATTGAACGCCCAGCTTCCGGGCACTGAAGAGAGGGAGAGATGCAACCCGAGCTGTACATTGCTCCAACCCGAGCTGTACATTGCTCCGGTCACATTACACGCCCTTCTTAGTTATCCTCCATTCAGAAAATGTCTTGTATTCTTGAAAAAAAAAAAAAAGGACATCCTGTTATTGGAGGGGGGAGAGGAGAGGGCTTCGATATGACATCATCTCTCCTTCAATGGCAAAATGCCTTGTATTCTTTAAAAAAAAATACAAGACATTTTCTGAATGGAGGATAGTAAGGAGCAGCGGATGGTCCGACTAGAGAGCTGTACAGTTCGGTCACATGGTAAGATTGTTCTACTTTGCAACAGCCCTCTGCACAGGATGCACTGCTTTTTAATGCTAATTTACACAACCAGTTCCCAGGTTTGTCCAAACAATAAAAAGGTCTTTGTCTGACAATCTGAGCTACGTCTATTTTTAGGTCGTATATACCACTGCTTATGGTGAACATCTTAAAGTGTATGTACAATCATTTTTTTCAGTTTTGGATAGAGAAGGGAGGTATTAAACAAGTCATTTTTTTCCTGTTTGTGTGCCATTAGGGATATTTCCCATCAATTACTGTACTGCCCAGGAGAAACAACTTTAAGTAACCTGAAATCTCCACACAGTGAGGATTATTCCCCTCACAAGACAGCTGTCACTGGAACAATTGTGCCCATTACAAGAATTCCCCAAAGCCCTTGTTCTGGTGACAACTGGAAAATGTTGAAGTTACCATCACTTTCGGTCTTAGTAACAATAGCCACCAGGACAAACTAAGAGGTTACAGCCAGAGCAACAGAACAGAGGTTCTAATTCTTAAACTTCTTTAACAATAAAAAAAAAGTTTGGGCTATACACAATGGCAAATTTAGCAAGTTATTAAATGGGCCATATTATTACCGTCACATTTGTATGCATGCACCTTTTCTCTTTTCTTATTTTGAATATTAATATAACCATTTTAGGCTAGTACGTCAGTCATCACAAATGCATGGACTTGCTTTAGATCTAGGCTGTAGATCCTCAAAGGAAGGACAGTGTCATCATGAATTCAGAGATGATTTGAGAATCTACAGCTGAGTGATACACAATGAAATGAGATACATTTTTGTTAACAGTTAGGGTACTTAATGTATTTTTAAGATTTAACACCAGAGTTTAGTGTCATTTTAAAAAGATATGGCTTCTATATCCAACTGCAAGTCAAGTGCAGTTTGGAGCCGTCTTAAAACTGAAATTATGAAGTATTAATTTTCTCAAAATAAGATTTTTTTGATAAATGCTGGATAATTGTGTTATTTTGTATCTCTTAGTTGGAGTCAGAGTTCCTAGGTCTACACAACTGTAGAAGATTTTAATTCTCCCTAATAGGTAGTAACTCAGTCCACTATACTCCTTGTTTTGCATAGTTCGGTTATAAAAATTCTAAAAAAAAAAAAATTATATGTATATAGATTTTTTCCCCCCCAAGATACAAATACAGTACAAATCACATTTTCACCATGTTCTTGATGTGCATATTAATTCACTTTCCAATGCCCAACTCACTTCTAAACCCTTCAGGTTTTAGTATGAAGTTTCCACAATATTGGAAATGACAGACAAGTCCTGTGATGAGCTTTGATTTTACATCAGTGGATTGTTTTGTCAGCTGATGCAAATGTCAATATACAATGTTATGTCCTTAAATACTCCTTTATTCTGCTGCCATAATGCACGGACGATAATAGCCCCAGTGGGGCTATATATTAAAAAACATGGTCCATTTCATCGACTTAATTTAAACGGCTGACAGCAATGTTTATGCACCAGAACAGAGAAGCTGAAGGGAATCTTTCAGAAGCTCTTTGAAATGAAGACATATTGCCTATACTACTTTAAAGTTATGAAAAGAATAGGGCTGCAACTATTGATTATTTACATAAACGATTAGTTGGTTGATTATTATTTCAATCGGATAAAAATAAATTAATACCATCCTTCATTGCGGTACCATGCGTTCCAGTGCGGGCAAGCACACTGTGGGAGGGGGGCGCATTTGGTGTGCCATTCAAATGAAATGGTACTGCAACGCACCTCCCGCAGCAGAATTACTTTTTTCCCACCCTTTTATACTTGTTTTTAAAATTGTATGTTAGAGGCACAGGACGCTTAAATAGCTTCAGCTAGAGAATTACAGCTGCCAGTGGCAAGATTCTGCAGATGGCAGCTGAATGTAAATACAGCAGGTAGTGGGCTGGTACAATAGCCAGCCTGCTATTGGCCATTTCAAATTGCAATATCCGATAGCAGGCTGGCTATGGCACCCGCACACTGCTTGCTGTGCCCTCCTCCCAGTGTGGAGGAGAGAGCTAGTAGATCCAACCAACTATTCGATAATGAGAATAGTTGGCAACTATTCTCAATCGATTAGTTGGTTGCAGCCCTAGAAAATAAAATACTAGATTGACTTCATCTTGTCCATTGTATGCTCACATTAAGGAGCTTTTTCCATTTGCACCATGAAAACAGAATACCTACACATCCGCCAACACCAGTGCAAACCAGCAGGGATTTATATTTGCTTACAAAGCCTTCATATCCAGTGTTTCAAGGTCACGTACACAGGCATTTGTGCACACAAGAACTAACTTTCTCCCTATAAAAGTCAATGGGAATACAAAAGGAATCTTAAAGAAGCTGAGGTGGTCAGAAATATCCCAAACTAAACTCAAATGCACCTAAACGCATGCTGCATTTGCCCATCTACACATACCCTAACATTACCTCGCTAGATGCGCTGTGCAATAGTGTGCACTATATGCAAGGTAACATGCACTGAGAGCAAAGCTATAGTGTGAACAGGCCTTATAGATCATGTTTCCCTGAACCCTTCAGTGCCTTATATTGCCATGCTGCCTCAATAGTGTTAAACCAGTATATGAGCCAATTCTAGAAAAGAAATCAAAAACATTAAAATGTAAAGAATGAGGATTCATTCAAAGTGGAAACATTGGGCTGCATTATGTAGCATCATCTAGCGGGTACAGTTCAAATGTTTTGCCTTCAATGTGACATTCAAAAGCCTATAGGCTCAATTTATAAACCTAACACACCTGGCTAGTGATATTTTTTTTTTTTAAAGTAATTATATTCAGAGTTTGTGGTTTAAAAATGACAGACACGTGGCTACAATAAAGACCTTTATCCTTGTGTTAAAGCTTATGGAATTGAGCTTGACGCATACAGAATATAGCTCACGAAAGCACTGGTTAACCTAAAAAAACATCTATATTCTGTATATTGCTTAAGTATTATAGATCACAAAGCTGGCCATACACTATTGTATGTTTTTTGTTCAACCCGGGCTGGAAAAAAATATAAATAATTAGAACAGATTCCTCCATCAATGCTACGAGTGCTGATTGATGAATCTTCTGCCGTTTCTTTTGTATTCTGACAGTGGCCACTGTCAGAATCCCCAAAACATAACAAAAACAGCTCATTGGCTGCTGGCTCTGTATTTTCAAAAGATTTTGCGACTGGCTCCTTTGATCAGCTGATCAAGGGTTGTTGGCAGGAAGGGTGCCGATAGCGGGACCCACTGTGCGAATTTCGCCCGCTTCCTGAAGAAGCAGCCAAAATTTAAATAATACTATAGTTATCAGCAAATCAATAGGCTAATAGTGAAAATGCAGAAAGGACGCAGGTGTATCAGGGTTTCCCGAGTACTTTACGTTATTTAACCACTTCATGACCAGTGAGTCTACATCACTGGCATCGTGCCCGTTCAAACAGACTCCCAGCTGAATTTTTTCGCAGTTTAATGGGACGCACACACATTTTTAACCTGGGCATGTTGGGAATTTTCTCTTAACCTCAACTTTTATATTTTTATTTTTTTTAAATGGGTGTTTTGGGGCATGTAAGTGCATTTTTCAGAAAATGTTGGGGTTTGATAAGGAGTTGTGCTAATAACATGCAAAACAAAAATTTGCAACTGCCACCATTTTATTCTATAGGTTCTTGGCTGTCAGAAAATATATAATGTTTGGGAGTTTTAAATAATTTTCAGGTCTAAAATGTGGATAACATGTAAACAAAAAAAAAAGAAAACGGCCTCGGTCATGAAAGGGTTGAATGACAACACATCAGAATGACTTGCTTTCCAGCTCCATTTGCCTGATAAAAACTTCAGACTTATAGAAGGAAGTCAGTACTTTGATGATGGCTGAATTCTGTAAACAGTGGGCTTCTTTCAGTGAAGCTACAAAGGATATAGTGCTAATGATGCAAAAAAGGAGAACAAAGCTCCATCTAGTGGCTGTATAAAAGACTATAGAAATATTAACCGCTTGAAGACAAGGTGTTTAGATCCCCTACCTGGCCAGGCCATTTTTCAGTGTTCAGCGCTGCAGTATCGGCGCGCCCGAATGGGCGGATGTAACAGGACGTGTATACACGCCCAGTTACATCCAAGAAGCTCCCGGCAGGCCGTGTATACACAGCGGCTGGCCGGGAGGTAGTTAAACTACTTGATGACCGGGGTGTTTTAAACCCCCTT